TTGGTTTTCGTACAAAAAAATGATTTATTCTCTTGAAATCAATTTGACAAAAGGCTTAGTGCTAATTTGCTCAGGTTCAATGAGAATTCAGGGTTCTTTGATCAATAAATGATTTATGGTTTAACTAACAAACAATACAATCTAGGTATCCGACGCAATGACCAAAGGAAAATTATGAAAACACAAAGGCAGGTTTAAATCATTATTGATTTGTATTTTATAACAATAGTTATTGCCCATTTTGCGAAGAAAATTCAATCTTCTGTTTCAATTGCAAGCAAAAATTATAAAATCAATCATTTTTGTCGCTAAAACTTTCTTTGCAATACTTATATATTATATTGAGATCAGAAATATTCATTTTAACTCAGGACAGTTTCAGTGCTTTGAAAGAATAGTGAATCTGTTGGTCCCCTAATGAATTCAAATAACAAAAATGAAGTTACAAAAAAGGGCAAGCGAATGTGCGAACAGACAAAACCGCAATCAGCTTTCTAAATCAACCTGAATTTATTGAAGACCAGTTTAAACTGAGTGTGGAGTTAGTAAGCTGTTCGGAAAAAAGATTGGACGACAACTTTACGAGGCTGTAAATGAGCTAATATGCAGACAAAATATAAAATTTTTAGATCAGTTCATCTGTCAAACATTCGCGTTTACAATTCATGACATTTTACCGTTTTACTCAGAATAGGTCTCTTTTGAGACAAAATTCTTCATTTGACGGCAGAAATATGGTTTATCAAATAGTTTAGACCTATTTTTGGCCATTCCAATTCGCCCATTTTGATCATTAACCTGTGAATGCCCATATTCCCTTATTGCTACTTTAAACATCATTTTCTTTCCAAATTTCGGTTTTTCACGAAACCTGACCGCATCAGGTACATTTTCAATGCGCTCAGTGATGCAAAGAAATATAAAATGAAAAAAAAACATTTTCTTGATCTGCGCTCCATGTTCGATAACTAACTGAATCTTCTGTCAAGAAATTTCAAATTTTCACAAGACATTTTTCATACTTTTATTTACAAATCTACAAAAAACTGTTGAAATATTCTCAATATTTTAACGGATACTTCGATTTGCCACACCAAAGTTAACGTCCAATCTTTTCTGCGAACAGGTTAGGTGTATTTGAATAGCGTCAACTCAACAATTTAAAGAATTTTGAGATCGTTTGTTTGATAGATTGTTAGAATTATATGAAAATTTCAGTTTTGTACAATGAACTATTTGATGAAGAATATTGTTTAACTACCTGAGTAAATAAATTCTCAGAATTCAACTGTTGATAATCGTACTTTTATTGAAATTACTGTTTTACAATCATTTGCTTATCAATGATAAATGAAACTTGCCAGGGCAATGATTATGGTCAGTGAGAGAGTAAACATGGATGTGATGAAACTGTTGTTTATGGTAAAGAGGTTGGCGAATGTAAAGCCAACGTCACTTAATGCCATTCGAGCGATAAAGATGTCATTCTAGAATGAAATAAGAGAAAAATAGAAAAGTAAAATGTTGATTTCTGCTATTGATTGAGATTCTGTAATTCACTTACTTCATGATATAAATGGATCGTATCTAATTTGAATGAAAATTCATACAAATCTTCCAATCCGTGGCGAGATATGTTGTTCACTGAGACTAGATTATAAGTCAAGATTAGTAATTGGGCCGTTTGGATAAGTATGGATGCCAACCAAATCGGTCCAATTTTTGTTTCCGGCTCAAACGATCTAACAATATTCATAATGTTTAAAGAAAAGTATTCAACGTAAAATATTGTTATAAAGTATCGAAACAATTTCTCAGCATTTTGTGTCGATCGTACTGCATAACTATATTTTTTCCTTAGAGTTCTGATTTCGTGGAATGAATAAAACAATTGGTTGTCTGTTTCGTTCAAAGCAGCAATTTGTGCATTGATTTCATTGAAAGTGGCATGTAAACATATGCAAATATTGCAAGTCATGTTGAGGAAGAAAAATAATCCAGATATGAGGCAAACTTGATTAATGACAATCAAAATGACTTTGAATATGTCAACATTTTGAATTTCTGATTCCATGTAAACCATGCAAACAATAACGTTACTGATAAAAGGTATGAAGAGAATGATTGTATTTCTTCTACGATTCCGTTTGATTGAAGCCACAGTTGTACTATTAAATTCAATAGATAGTAACTCCATAGTAGAAATAAATTTTTTAAAATAATCCAAATTAAAGCCAAACAGGACCATTAATATTACAAGCGACAAAATGATTACTTCTAAAGAGGCATGAACGCAATCAAAGATCGATATCTTTGAATTGTAATTGCAAAGTGGTAAAGTATAAATAGAAGCATAAACGATCCGACAAGTCGGACAAAAGGCAGTAGTAAATAAGAGAAGGATTTTGATTGCTGGTCCAAGTATGTATTTTGAGGGTAAAATCAACCCATCCAGAAGCATTTGCTTGGGTGGATTCGGACTTGTTAGTAAAGACATTTCAACTTTAACTTTTGATGTTTGCACAGAAAATGATTTCTGGTCTTAAAACTAAAAGACGTAATATCCAGTTGCAATGAGGTTTCCATGGCTCGCCAATCAATCAAAAAATTATGTTTTAACTAGCAAATACAATAACAATGCAACGATCCAAGAAAAATTATGAAAGAACAGAAAATGCAATTTTAAATTATAATCGATTTGTAATCATCACAGTTTACCTATAATCAAAGTTATTGCAACGCAAATAATTATATTTTTATGTCAATTGTAACCAAAACTTATCCAATCAATCATTCAATTTTTCGCTAAGAAAAATTTTCTAAACAATGTACATGTTATATTGAGAATAAGAATAACTATTTGACTTTTTTCAAGGAAAGTTTCCATTGATTTGAAAGATAATAAAAATATGAGATCAAGCGATAGAGCATAAATGCCTATTGTGCCTTGATGACCCCTTAGAAACCCTCACATATGGATTTACATGGAACTGTCTGAGTGAATAAATTGTCAGAGTTCAATCCGTTTCAGAGAAACATTCACCATTTATTGAAATTCTTATTCTTTTACAATTCTTTGATTATTAAAGGTAAATGAAACTTGCCAGGGCAATTATAAGTGTTAATGAAAGGGTGAACATTGATGTAATGAAACTGTTGTTTATGGTAAAGAGATTGGCGAAAGTAAAGCCAACGTCACTTAATGCCATTCGAGCGATAAAGATGTCATTCTAGGAGAAAAAATTGAAAAGTTAAAAGATAATTTGGGATTGATTGCGATTTTGTTGTTGACTTACTTCATGGTATAAATGGATTGAGTTTAATTTGAATGAAAGCTCATACAAATCTTCCAATCCTTGGCGAGATAAGTTGTTCACTGAGACCAAATTATAAGGGTTAACATTGATGTAATGAAACTGTTGTTTATGGTGAAGAGATTAGCAAAAGTAAAGCCAACATCACTTAATGCCATCCGAGCGATGAAGATGTCATTCTGAGAGTAAAAATGAAAAGTGAAAATTAAAGTTATGATATTGCTTGAAATCCTCTGATGGACTTACTTCATGATATAGATGGATTGAGTTTAATTTGAATGAAAGTTCATACAAATCTTCCAATCCTTGGCGAGATAAGTTGTTCACTGAGACCAAGTTATAAGTCAAGATAAGCAATTGTATGGTTTGGCTCATTATAACTAGTAGCCAAAGTGGCTCAACTTTTGTCTTTGGTCCAAATGATTTGACGATATGAATTATGCCATAAGAAAAGTATTCAATGTAAAATAATGTTATGAAGTAGCGTAACAATTTCTCTGCATGTTTTGTCGATCGAACTGCATAACTGTATCTTTTCCTTAAATTCCTAATTTCATGGAATGAATGAAATAATTGGTTGGATGCATTGTTCAAAGCAGCAATTTGTGAATTAATTTGATTGAAAGCAGCCTGTAAATAGATGCAAATGTTACAAATCGCGTTAAGAAGGAATAAGAATCCAGACATAATGAAAAATTCATTAACGACTATCAGAGTCGCTCCATATATCCCAAAATTTCGGTGAAACGATAACATGAAAACCGCACAAAGAGTTATGTTACCGATAAAAGGTATAACAAGAATGGTGAAATTTAATCGACGCTTTCGTTTGATGGTCTCAACAGCTGAATTATCATTTTCGATGGATAACAATTCAATGGTGGAAATAAATTTTTTAAAATAATCCCAATTAAAACCAAACAGAACCAACAAAACTCTAAGTGACATAATGATTAAAGCTACAGCGGTATGAAAGCACTCAAAGATTGATATCTTTGTCGTATAATTACAAAGCGGGAGGGTGTAAAAAGAATGATGAGCGATTTGTATGGCTGGACAAAAAGCAAGGGTAACCAAAAGAAGGATTTTGATTGCACGTCCAAGTATGTATTTCGACGGTATAATGAATCCTTCAAGAATCATTTTCTTTGGCTGGTTCTGCCTTGTTGATAAATATATTAATAATATTAATATTTCAACTTTAACTTTTAATTATTGCACGAAAAATGATTCCTTTTCTCAAAGTCAGAAAGGGTTTGGTTCTAGTCTGCTCAGTTTCAGTGAGATCTGGGGTGGTTCACCAGTTAAAAACTAGCAAATATGAATACAATCAACGCAACGATCAAAGCAAATTGAAGACACAAAGAAGATAATTTTAAATTATCGATTTATAATTATCGAGTCCAACGTTATTGTGTGTTTTCAGAGGCAAAAAATTCAATTTCTGATTCAATTGTAACCAAAACTTATACAATCAATCATTCAATTTTTGTCAATTTGATTAAATGCAGACCAACTTTATCATTGAATAAAATACAGATGAAAAGATCAAAGTTGCATAAAGACTCTAACAAATACGCTTTTTGATGTTTAATATTGTTTTTATTATAAAAACCTTTGCTGGATAACATTATCTGGTTGGTTTTAAAAATTCATTTTTTTATATTTTTCATTTTCTATTCTCAGATGATTGGCTGGCTCGCCTCAAACGCACACTACTTTTATTACGTTCCAATAAGAATTGGCTTGTGTACTCCATCAACTTGCACACCTGATGAAATTAGACGGATAACAAGTTCAATATTGACTAAAATTAACTTGCAAGTTGAATTGGTTGGAAATGAATGTGATGTTTCAACAAACTTTAACCTTGAAAATGTTCATCTGATAATCATGTAAGTAAACTGATTAACTAATGAAGCCCAAAATTTAGCTGAGTTGGGACAGGTTGAAGGTGGTAGAAAGAAATCTCTAGGTTGCAATTGAATATTTTTGATGAACTTTATTCTCATCGAGAGGTAAGAAAATGATGAAAAAGGATAACTTGAAGTGAATAAACTGATTAATCAAAATTCCCCAAACGGTAGACAAGTTCATCTCAACACTCGACATTCACAGTTTTCCAACCATTCATTGTCTTACTCAATGTTGTTGAACCTTTTTGCACCATTTCTCATTCATTTCGATTCCAATAATAATTATGTTCCATTTTTGGGATTCTCTGCTTTTCTCTCCCTTCAACTTGAGCCAAACTCATCTTCTTACTGTTCATTTTGATGTTCATGATAATAATAATAACATATTTCATTCCATTGATTAGAACTTTTCTGGTTGCATTTGGCTTACTGGTAATAACTGCAACTCTGGTTGACATTAATCAATTGCATTTAATTAAAGGTTTAACCAATCCATCCATTGTTAACCATTTGAAGGAGGATTCGACAAATGGTGAGTCGCAAAATGTCCAATTAAGGCAACATTGATAATCACAATCAATTGTAACAATCGAAACGAAACTTCTTCTTTCAGTAGATAGTCGTTACCTATTATCGTCATGTTAATTGGAAATGATTTTTTGCTTCTTTTTTCTTTTCTAGTTGCATCCAAGAAAATTAGTGCCACTATGAAAGACACAAGTTTTATTTGTAAAACAAAAATGACTGACAAAAGAAGAAAATTTTTGCAAGTTATCGAGTTTAGAACTTTCATTCAATCAGATTATCAGCATTTGTTTTTGTTTCCAAATTTTTTGATTTGCCTCCGCCAGACAGATTTATGGTGAGGGAAATCATTTCAAATAATACAAACAGCAAATAACAATTAAAAATCGTTTTGAAATATCTTTCTTAATTGAAAACTCATGCACGAAAATATGGTGCAAGTGACTTTGATCTTGATACAGTCTAAAGGAAAAAGATGCAACGAATTTCCTAACATTATGGTTCGATTTTATACACAATTTGCTATCAAAGTTCATCTGATTTGAATAATTTCGTTTCGAGTTTTCCCCTCGCGATCAATTTTTCATACCTTTCGATCAAATTGGAACCAATTTTCATTTCCAACAGTTTTTGGTTTCAAACTGTGATTAGTATAGCTTGGTTGATAATTTTATTGTTACTATTATACAAAATGAAGTGTTTATTGAATTTAATTCCGATCTAATTTACATCATTTTCTTTATGCTTCTTTCATCTTCTTTAGCGTCAATGCCTTCATTATCACTATCAAGTGACCGGCCAATCAAATTTGCGCCGATAAGCTTCCACTCTGAAAAAAGGTTCATCAAGTTTTTAAAATGTTTCTCTATTCGACGAAACGCCAAGAGCATATTGAGCATGAAGGAAAATCCAACGGAAACTTTGAGTCATATCCATGGAATCAGAGTATTGACCATGGCTTGGATCATTTGTGGACACACTTTTGGACTAGTTAATCACACAAATTATAGTAAGTTGGGACTATCCTTTTCACTTGAAAGTATCAAGTATTAAAAACCTTGCATTAACATTTGTTTTCCAGATCAATCTTTCAATTCGGAAAAAATGTACAACAGCTTCATCTTTCAAGGGCTTCTCAATGCAACTGTTTGTGTCGACACATTTTTCCTGCTCAGCGGGCTTCTCACCGTCTACTCAGTTTGGCGTAAAGTTGACTCACATCAAAAGGTCAATCCACTTGTATACACATTTATCCGTTACATAAGACTCACTCCACCATACCTTGTAGCCATTGGCATTGCCTTGATCCTTCCCTCACTAGGACAAGGTCCCCTCTGGAAAGAGACTGTCAACCCAGTAGCCGAGCCTTGCTACTCAACCTGGTGGACCAACTTGCTGTACATTAACAACTTTGTTCAAACAAAAGACATTGTAAGTAAACTTCGAATTTTTAAGAAAAAAACTTTTTTCGATATCCATACGTTATACCGAGTTTGTTATGGATACAATCAAAAAATTTGAAGCTCATCAAAATCGAGGCTCATAAACTCTAAACAACTTATCATAAACTTGACACTAAACTTGAAGAGCATAAAAAATCGAAAAAAAAATTTCAAACTAACAACTAAAACATTTTCTTCTTTCAGTGTTTAATGCATTCCTGGTATTTAAGCAATGACTTTCAATTCCACATTATTGGCCTCATTTTAGTTTCCATTCTCGTCAGGTAAACAAAACTTAACCCACTATACATGCAAATGGCACTTGATTTAAATATTTATAGAGAGAAAAGAAGAAGAAGCTAAAAAATTGCTATTCTAATCCAATGAATAAAAAGATTATCATGTTTATTTGAAATATAAAATGAATTGATCTGTTAACTTACAATTAATTTACATTTTAATTGATTCATTACTTTTTCAACTTTCACTTTTCTCTCTTTTCTCCCTTTCCTTTTTTACTTGCAAACATTCTTTCCATTCTTTAATTTGATTACATTTTCATTATCATTATGCTTATTATTATTATTAGATCAACTCAAATGGGTTTCCTTTTAATTACTTTTCTCATGGTAACATCAACATTAATCAGTTTCTGGTTGGCAGCAGTAAATAATTATCCGCCAACAATTGTATCAACATCACCAGCCACACCGTAAGCCTTGCCTTAATCAACCCAAAGCAACTCATTATTCCAATGCAAACTTTCATAAATCTTCTTATCGAAATTCAATTTCAATATATCGTGAGAGGAAGTGAGAAGAGTGAGAGAAGAAAAGACAGAAAAAGAAAATACAAATTTTCAACTCTTCTATTGTATGGAAATTTTCATTCATCTGGATAACAGATTGAAGAAAGAAGAACAAGTGAAAAAGGAAAATGTTTGCAAGAAAATAAAATTCAGAGAATTATCTTGTCAATTCTTGAATAATAATATTTCACGAATTGAAAAGTATAAAAATAGAGTAAAGAAAACAAAATTGAATCTAAAAATATCGAGAAGAAGAAAATGTAAAGTTTGCAAAAGGAAGAAAATGATCATGAAATGAATATCTTTTTTTTACTCGATAGTGACTAACAAATTATTGAAACTTTTGTCCAACCATTTCTTATTCTTACTTTGAAAATATTCAGGGAAAGATGGAATTTCATTTTGGATTATTATTACAAACCTTGGACTCATCTATCAAGTTACCTGATTGGCCTAATATTTGGTTATCTGTTGGCTTCAAAGAGAAAATTTAAATTCTCTAAGATTACATTTCTTTTGGTTACCTTTTCCAGTCTTGTATCGACTTTTGTTTCCCTTTACGGTATTTACCCTTGGAATGCTGGTCAACAAGTAAACACTATTTTGGGTTCGACTTATGCAGCCACATTTCGGTCAATCTGGTCATTCAATGTTGCACTCTTTATCTTTTATCTAGCTCACCATCGTTCAAGTAAGAATCTTGATTTGACATTTTTTTCGAAAAAATTTTTTCGACACTTTTTGTTTCGAACCTTTTCCAGTTTTGAAATTCACTTTGAAGGACAAAACTTTTGGAAGCTGTTTTATGATAAAAAATTGAATGTCGACTAATAATCGTAATAATAGGGAACAAAAAATGTTCAATAATGAATAGACTAATTTGCTCCTTTATCAACATATTTAGTTAACATTAATCAAAGTTGAATTTTTTAATTGCAATCCTAATTGAATTAACACGATAACAATTAACAAGCTACAATTAATAGTCTGACTTTTCTCTCTGCTTTTCCATTCTTCTTTTCACTGTTAATTTAATAATTGCAAGTAAAAACATTTTTCATCATTTTACTTTACATTCATTGCTCTTCCATTAACATGAACATTTCAACAATAAATATCATTTCTTTCGACAGTAAAAATGAAAATCTCCACTTTTTTGCTCGTCTGTCTCTTCTTTTACAACAATTCATTATCATGATTCAATGGAATGGTAAAAAACAAGTAAATTAATGAGCAACTCTGCTTTATTTGTTGAGAGAGAAAAAGACAAAAATTGAATGAAAAACACGAAAATTTGATTTGTTTGTCGGGATAAAGGAAAGAATGGAAAAACTTTTGTCCTTTTTTTCGACAAATCCTCAAGTCTATCTTTTAATGAAACAAATACATTTATCTGATTTTCCTTTTTTTCTCTCTTTTCCTCAGGTATTCTGTATAAATGTTTATCATGGAAGGGTATTATTCCTTTGAGCAGATTAACTTATATGGCTTATTTATTGCATCCCTTCATTATATGGTATCATTATGGTTCAACTCGGCAACCTTTAACTGGCTCCGGTTATTCAATGTTTCACAGTTTTCTGGCCTTTTATTTGTTCACTTATTTGGTGTCATTTGTGGCTGGATTGTTGCTTGAATCACCTTTTATTTGTCTAATTAAACTGATTACATCGGCTAAGAGTAGTCAGTTTAAAGACTCTCAACAGCATTTACGATCAAAGTCAACCAATAAACTCGTCTATCCTTCACCGTGATGAGTTCTGGCATAAAAATTTTCTAATAAGTTCTTTCGTCTTTACATTCACTAATGAATGAATAAATAAAATAAATACTTTTTTAAAGCTTCTAACATGTTAAATGGTGGAAATAACAACTGAAAAAATTGTAAATAAACTATTATCATAATTAAAATATTAATAATTTTCTGAGAAACTGCTATTTATGCTATTTATTTATGAATTATCGCATGAACATTGAAATTCCTAAATCTTCATTTATTTCAAGCTGATTCAACTTGTGAAGATCGCGCCTCCACCTATTGATGAATAATATAAACATACTTTGAGACTCGCATTTTCAGTTTAGATTGAGTTAGCTGATCAGATGAGTTTAAACCTCAAAAATTGTTCTTTACTCGATTCCAGTTGTTGAACATATGCCCAGTCTTATACGTAGATGAGTGTTTGAAGGTGGCACAAACACTGCAACAACTTTTTTTACTTGACTGGCTTACTGAGGGAGCCAGGTTCAGATGTGAAGGTGAGTAGACTGTTAGCCGAATCGCACACTTGACTATACTTGAGTAGCTAGATGAGATTGATCGAAGCCCATTAGAATCACTTGATTTGGATTCAGAAACTATCAGCAGCCCTTCAATAGCTGAATAATTAAAGGGTGTTGCGTTTAATTCTTGCCAATTATCTTATCCGAATGGAGATTATCAATTTAAAGATGAAAGGATGAGGACGAAAACGGCCTAGATTTAGATTTTTCTCAAACTAATTTTTTCAGCTGTAAAAAAACATGCAAAACAAGATACTGTGAACCATTTTTTTGTATTCGAAGCCGTTTTCGGGAAAATGGCCTTAAATTTCTTTTATTTGCAACAAAATTTTTTAGATTGATGGCATCATGCTGATCATAGATATTTAATCGGTTTCTGGATTGACTTCGTAGTTGCTGAGATAAGTTGAAAATCGTGTTTAAAACCATTGAAACAATACCTAATGATAAAGCAAACCTGAAAATGAGAATGACAAAGTGCGTGAAGCCAAACAGAAAACAGATTTTATCCATCTTTACCATAAGAGCTTTCTATTGGTGCAAGAAAATTTCGAGAAAAAATCCGCAAAACTAGCTTACTTCTGATAAGTTTGAATTTTTAAACGGAAATTGATCTGTAGGTTCAAGAAATAGTTCGTGAAGCCAAACAAAAACCAGATTTTATTACTCTAAATGATAAGAGCTTTCTATTGGTGAAAGAAAATTTCAAGAAAAAACCCGCAAAACAAGCTTACTTCTGATAAGGTTGAATTTTTAAACGGAAATTGATCTGTAGGTCCAAGAAATAGTTCGTGAAGCCAAACAGAATCCAGATTTTATTACTCTAAATGATAAGAGCTTTCTATTGGTGCAAGAAAATTTCAAGAAAAAATACGCAAAACAAGCTTACTTCTGATTATGTCGAATTTGGTTACGGAAATTGATCTGTAGGTTCAAGAAATAGTTCGTGAAGCCAAACAAAAACCAGATAATATTACCTTTATGCATACGAGCTCTCTATTGGTGAAGAAAAAAATCCGAAAAAAACCCGCAAAACTAGCTTACTATTGATAAGGTTGAATTTTTTAACGGAAATTGATTCGGAGGGCGATAAAAAGTCCATAGGTAATACATAAGTCAATTTAGCCTTCTACTGCACAGTCAATCTGAGTATTTGTTGACTCAATCTGGATTTTTTACTTGTGTATGACGATTACTTGCTTCCAGTATTGTTTGACAGAAGTTAAGTCTGATCTACTTCGATAAACTCAAAAAATGGCATACAAGTTTTGTTTGCGGGTTTTTTCATGAATTTTTTCTTCACCAATAGAAAGCCCGTATACATTAACGTAATAAAATCTGGATTCTGTTTGGCTTCACGAACTATTTCTTGGACCTACAGATCAATTTCCGTTTAAAAATTCAACCTTATCAGAAGTAAGCTTGTTTTGCGGGTTTTTTCTTGAAATTTTCTTTCACCAATAGAAAGCTCTTATCATTTAGAGTAATAAAATCTGGTTTTTGTTTGGCTTCACGAACTATTTCTTGAACCTACAGATCAATTTCCGTTTAAAAATTCAAACTTATCAGAAGTAAGCTAGTTTTGCGGATTTTTTCTCGAAATTTTCTTGCACCAATAGAAAGCTCTTATGGTAAAGATGGATAAAATCTGTTTTCTGTTTGGCTTCACGCACTTTGTCATTCTCATTTTCAGGTTTGCTTTATCATTAGGTATTGTTTCAATGGTTTTAAACACGATTTTCAACTTATCTCAGCAACTACGAAGTCAATCCAGAAACCGATTAAATATCTATGATCAGCATGATAAAATCAATCTAAAAAACTTTGTTTCAAATAAAAAAAAATTTAAGGCCATTTTCTCGAAACGGCTTC